TCATGGGAATATAAAATCACCAGTTAGGGGGGTGGGGAAAGAGGGGAAAAATGAGGAGCTGATACCAAGGGCGAAAGTAGAAAGCAAATGTTTTGAGAATGATGATGGCAACAAATGTACAAACGTGCTTGACACAATGGATGGATGGATGGATGGATTGTGATAAGTCGTATGAGCCCCCAATAAAATGATTTTTAAAAGAAAGAAACTACAGATAGGTAACGACCAAATGGTATCCATGATCCGGAACCAGGAAGGACAGCCTTTGGAAGAGCTGGTGAAATCGGGACTGGATCTGAAAACATCTTGTGGATTTAAAAACAGTGTTGCTTTCCTGATTAGGATGGTTGTATTGGGGTTGAATAAGAGATGGAACAAATCTGGTCAAGTGTCAACAACTGGAGTGTCTCGATGAAAGTTGTGTTAGTCTGGGGACTTTAGAGAAACCAATCCACAGAAACTCATATGTAACAGAGTTTTATATAAAGGTTAAGTGCGCATCAAGAAAACATCCCAACCCAGTGCTGCCCAAGCCCACAAGTCCAACATTAACCCATATGTCCAACACCACTCCACAAAGTCCTCCTCCATCTCACAAAGCACACACAATGATGCCGACTGGTGTAATTATAATTTGAAAAACAAAATAACACTTTTTAATGCCCACAGCGCAATCTTTTGAGGCAAACAGGTATTAACTGGCATTGGTGGGGCTTCTGAACTCTAACTGCACAACAAGGAAAGAGACTCCTTAGCAGCAGCATCCACTCAAGGCTGAGTCCCATGAGGTGGAGGTCAAACATACCCTATCGTACTTTTTTTCTTTTTTAACCAATTCTGACACCAACCAGCCCTCCCATGGCACTCTTTACTTCTAAACTGGGTTCATTTTTTTGTTTTGTTCTTATTTTGTGTGTGTGTGTGTGTGTGTGTGTGTGTGTGTGTGAGGCAGTGAGTGAGTGAGACAGTGAGAGAGTGAGACAGAGAGTGAATCAGTGAATGAGTGAGGCAGTGAGTGTGTGAGTCAATGAGTGAGTGAGAGAGTGAGTGAGTGAACGTGCCAGTGAGTGAGAAAGTAAGGCAGTGAGTGAGTGAGGCAGTGAGTGAGTGAGATAGTCTAAACTGGGTTCAATAATTCATTGAAATGATCACACAGACCTAAATAACTGGGGTTTCTTCTAAAAATACAGATTGCAGTTCGGGCTCAGGAACCCTCAGGATACAGTGTTTCCATCAGGACAGTCTCTTAGCTGTGCTCACTAGCAAACCTCTTCTGGTCCTTGCTTCCTCAGCCTGGCCCTGCCCTGCTCAATCGAGTGCTACAAAGCTTCCTAAGAATTGCCAACAAGTGTCTGACGGCACCAGAAAGTTCACGACCAAAGGCGCTTGGCTCTCTTGCTCTATGAGTCAGCATCCCCTGGTGCTGCGGCTGCCATTTCTCTGCCACTGCTTCTCACGGTCTCTGATCATCCCTAGGGTTATGGCTCTGTGTCTTCCAGGCTCCTTGGTCTAGGAGATACTCAGCACCAAGATCCCAGGTCCAGAGGAAATGCCTTTCTCTTGGCTCTTCTGCCTGGGTGGTCCTCATTTCCACCTGTGGGACGGCTTATTTTAAACCTAGCAGAGCAGCTGGTTGGTTCGAACCACCAACCTTGCAATTGGCAGTACAATTTGGGGACTTGCCAGCCTCCACAACTGCACGAGTCATTTTCTTGAAGGTTTGTGATTTTTGTGAGCCATCGTAACATACTTTAGAACCCAAAGATGGGAGGGGATGGTTCGTGTACTGCACAGTAACTTTTAAGAGTTGGACAATTGGGAATTTTTTTATCTCTGCTTCGCGTACTGATCCCCCTAAGATGAACTGTTGATGTAGTTATTCAGGTCTTTATGTTCAAGGCTCAAGGTTTGGGGACCTGTTTTAGGCTGGATTCTCTAGAGAAACAAAACCAGTGAAACTTAGATATGCATACATGAAGGAGGGACCAAAAACAAAGAAACAACAACAAACACAAAACAAAGCCTCCCCCCCCAAAAGCTATGTTATTTAAAAAAAAATTTTATAAAACAACCTTATCACCTTCAAAGTACTCTCCATTACACTTATCACATTTGTCAGATCTGCGATTCCATTCTTGGAAACGTTCGTCAAACTCATCTGTTTGGTGGCTGACAGCCCCTCCCACGTTTGTTTTTTTCCTTCACCGTTTCTAGGTCTTCAATAGCAGTCTTTTCATGTCCCTCTTCATTCCCAGAAACAAAAAGAAGTCACGTGGAGCGAGGTCAGGTGAGTAAGGTATGTGGGGCAAGAGAAGCATGCTGTTTTTTTGCCATAAAACTGGCGCACTGAGATGGCTGCATGAGCAGGTGTGTTGTCGTGGTGGCAAAACCAGTCCTGTCTGCCACAAATTCGGCATTGTTTGTCACACACGGTTACACTATCTTCAGAACCTCTAAATAGAACAGACTGCAAATGCACTAGGAGTTGACATTTTTAGTGGTTCGGGAAGTTGATGGATGTCCAGAGCGAGGTTTGTCATCAATTGACATGTCACCATTTTTGAAACGACAGCAACCACTTGTACCCTTGAGTTTTTCCCATAGTGCTGTCCTTGTAGACTGTGTTCAACATCACAACAGTTCCTACAAAGTTTTCCCCAAACAGAAAACAAAATTTCACAGCCGCAAGCTGTTCTCTTAAATCAGCCATTACAAAAACGAGGTTCGAAAGAACCTGCTTTTATGAAAAATTCACTGTGACCAGAGAGAATCTTCCCAGGCCAGGCCACTGGGTGCACTAACTCGGAGTGAGATGCTAAGATGCTCGCCTAGCAGGGAAAATGTGTGCTACAAAAGCTCCACTCTACGCAGTGCAATTCCAACTTTGGGATACTCCCTCGTACAAAGGTTTACATCTACGGAATGGCTAACACAACTGTAGAGGTAGGCAAGTTTGAAGACCGTGGGTCAGAAGTCAGGCTTCTCCTAACTCAGGTAGCTGCAGGGACTGATGAACCTAAAATTGGCAGTTCAAATAGCATGCTTTGGACTGTAGAGGCAAATGAATGCAAGGCCCTCGGGTAAGATGGAAGGCTGATAATGACTCCCAAGATTGGCAGGCTGCTGACTCTTCTAAAGAGCCAGAGGTTGGAAGATGATCTAGATGCCCGATTCTGAACCAGCAAAAAGCAAGCAAGTGCTGACACACCATCTGTTTATATTGGAAGCAGCAACCAATGCCCCCTCCCCCACTTTGCCCACACCAAACAAAAAAACCAAAGCCAACTTCCATTCAATTGTTTGGCTGTTCATAGTAGATCTCATCTCATCATGGAGACGATCACGTTACGTTACATCGCATCATATGGGATTACTAAATCGTAACTGCTAAACCGCCGAGAATCCTGGCCTAGCCAAGTTGACACAAAACCCTTTGGGGAACCAGCCTCCACAACTGAATGGGTGCGAGGGGCGGCTGGGTAATGGAAGGGTGAATTAAAGAAACATCAAACAAGACATGCAAGGGCTCACCTCTTCTGACAGCAGGAGAGAGAGAGAGAGAGATTGAGAAAACATAATCTCTCACAGGCTTATACAATATCGGGCATGCAAGCCGCATCATCCACGTATGTAACAGGAAGGGGATGTGTTAGAGGTACACATGTTAACAGGAAAGGGATGTGCTAGGGACATACGCCTACACCTAACAGGAAGGTACACACGTTAACAAGATGGGTGGGTTCTAGAGTTAAGATGGGGGCTTAACCTTGGTTGTCTCTGAGCTGGCTTGACCTCAAGTGTCCCTGGGCTCTTTTCCAGGGCAGCAAACTAGGATCCTTATCAGAATGGAGTACGCTGTTCTTAGGGTGGGGTGGGTGGTCTGATCGCTCTTGATGGCAGCTAACCTTCTAGCATATAATAGCAACCATGTGCTCACAAGCAGCACCTTAAAATTGCCGTTGTTATGGGTGACATTGTGGGGAACGACTTTAGTTAGGAGACTGTAACTAGGATTCATCTCCAACCCACAAGAGTCTTGGCCTCCCAGACTCCTAAAAATATGAGCGTAGAAAATTTGTTGGCATATTGTCGCCTCCCATTTCTGTTTCCCACAACACCCTAACTATCACAAGCCCCTATACAGAAATGGTAATTGGCCCTTCATGCATCAAGCGTCAGTGTGGAGGTATCCCCTGACTCATGGTTGCAGGGACTGGAGGACTCCACATATGGTCACTGGCTCACAAGTCCGATGATTACTGCCTCACAAGGCTGTGGAAGCCAGCAGATCAAATCAGACAAGAGGCTGCTAGCTCAACTTCCAAGAACCAGAGCTCAGATGATAGGTCAGATGCGAGAGAGAGAGAGAGAGAGAGAGAGAGAGAGAGAGAGAGAGACACTTTGCTAGAGCATTCATATATATTGGATGCAAATCAGACCTTCAAGGAAACTCTGCTTACTGGGGCAAGGCAGTACACAGGTGTGAAGGATAACACATGGGTCAAGGATGGTGGCTTGAGCCACACCTTCTAATACAGTGATGAATCAGGATGCATCCCGCTGTAATCCTGCCTCATGAACGTAATGGACAGCTCTCTCCAAAACGGGCACAGAGGCTACGATTTACAACGCACCACAAACTAGACGGCTGCAGTTGGAAGAGCCACAGTGAGTCAGTCACTGCACCGCAGATGTGGACAGGGGGCTGCCTGCTCGCTCCGGCTTCCTTACCTCCATGTTGGACATTCCAGTTCCAAAACATAGAAACACAGGATAAAAATAAAGCTGGAGAGGAGTTTTAGGGAACATTTAGTCCATTTCATTCACCGTATACTGACTGGCTGATTGTTCCCAAAGCTCTCTTCTCTCTCTTGGGCGGGGAATTAGGGTCAAGACCAACAGGTGCGGGAGTCGTCCAGTGCCCTTTAATCCTGGCAATGCTGAGCAAGGGCTTCCTGCCAGTGTTGCGGATCCAGCCAGCTGTCTGGCTAGAGGTCAGGATGGCAGAGGAGGAAGGTGATGTAGATGAGGGAGATGTCTTCCTGGCATTTGCCCAGGGTCCCTCTCCTCCCAGGGGTCCTATTCGCAGGACCTTGGACAAGGCCTTCTTTTTCCTCTTGGCCCTCTTTTTGATGCTGTTGATGCTGGAGGCTACTTATAAGCTGCTGTGGCTGCTACCGTGGGCACCGTTTGGGGACTGGCTTCTTGGAACACCTCAGAAGGAAGAGGAACTGGAATTGTGACCACCTTTCTCGTAAACATCCTCTTTTCCTGTCATTGAGGTGAGAGGGGAGCCAGGAAGCGGGGGCTGATGGGGGCTGGGGAGAGGACACTTAGAACAGCAATCTTAAATTTGTAAAAACAATTTTCAGAACAAGTCTGAAATCATTTGGAAAATGTATATAGCCTCTCATAATGTTAAGCAAGCACCTATGCTTTTTCATCATAAAAATAGATTGTTTCAAGGATTCAAATGAATAGTGCTATAATATTCATATTCTAAAAGACTAGTTCAATCACCCTTTTGAATGTCCAGTGGAATTGAGAGATCATAGTGCCCTGATACCCACCACCATGCATCTCAAAATACATAAAGTTCTTAATAGCTGAGGATCATTCCTCTTCTTTTCCTTATTTCCTTTTCTTCTTGCCCGCCTATCACCGTAATATTTCCCCACAGATAACTTATACTTGAAAGCCTTTTGTAGATCAACCCATCATACTTTTAGAGATATACATATATACTTTAAATTCCTTCTTCTAGGTTATTACAATGATTATTAAAATGGGATTTATCAAAAGCAACAAAAAGATTTTATACATTTTCATAACTTGAAAATAAAAAGTACGTCTTTAACAAGATTAACAAGGTGGTGTTTGAGGTTTCCTGACCACAAACAGGAAGAGGCTATTTGTGTCTGTATTTGAGTCAAGGTTTGTTACTTTAGAGCTAAGCTTTTTTTTTTTTTAAAGAGGGGGAATGTTTATTGTAAAAGGTGAAAGGAAGAAAACGCCCTCCGTTTTAGGGTTTCAACAACTTTGGGAAAGTTGAGGATCTGAGAGAACGTCTACCCCCCTCAAAAAAGGGTCTCTGCTCACATATCCTTGGTGAAGGTCCTATTCTCTTCTCTGTGCGGTTTTATGGTCCAGTTTGGAGACTGTAGCTTAGGGCGCGCAGCCCTGAGCGCACCGTGGTGACCAGCACTGGCTGCCCAGAGAAAGGTTCCCAAGTCACCAGCCATCTGGGGGAGAGAGATGTTGACGTCGTGCCTTGGGGCCCGAGTAGAGAAGTTCTGCTCCGTCCTATGGGGGTCCTCTGAGTCGGAATGGACCCCGTAGCAGTGGGCTTCGTTTGGGTAGGCTTAGAAGTGCTGTGAAATTCGTTCACGAAAAGTTTGAGGTTCTGGGCTTCCAGCGATGTGGAGCACAGCAGGATCTCTCGGCGGTCCCAGCAAGTGAGAAAATGGTCACCACTTGTGGAAAAAGCACAGGAGGCATACGGGAGGTGCAACTATCAAAGCCTGGGGTCATAGTACCTTTTGGGGTGTCCCCGGAAGCCTGCCTCTGAGCGTGGACCTGGCTGCCTTGATGAACGCAAACTCGCCACCCTGGGGACACTTCTGATCCATAGTGACCCCACAGGCCTGGGTGAAGCTGCTCCTTGCTTTCCCAAGCTGCACATCTCGATGGGTGGGGAAAGCCTGGTCTTTCTCCTGCGGAGAGGCTGGTGGCTCAGACTGCTGACTTTGTGATTATCAGCAGACCGCCAGGTCTAGCCTCCTCTGGTCCCCCTTACACTGGCTCAACCAGGTTCAAGAAAAGGGCAAGGCGGGCCTCACAATGGGTTCCTTCCGCCATTCTTACACCCGCAGCTCTTGCAGAGGAAGAGGACTTTGCCTGCCACTTCCACCGTGGTCATTTGCCCCGATTGCCCAAAGCGCTCTGGCCCCATCACCCTGCCCTGGGATCCGTGGGGTCTGCTCCTCCCGAGGGACCTTCCAAAGGGCAGAGAGCCACCCGGGGCCCTGCGTGACGAGTGGGGCAGCTCGAAAAGCAAGCCGATGCGAACCCCCGTGATTAAAAAGACACAAACGCACATACAGCGTGTCGTGCTCATTTGTGTGCGTGCGTGATGATTTCCCCGCGGGGACAGGGAAGACTGGATGTGGCTGACGGTGCCCGAGCTAAGTGACCACCAGCCTCCAGGAGGGGACGGGGCAATCGATTACGCGGTGCCGCCCGATCCTGCTCCTAGCGACCTGTGGGCGCGACCGAACAAGTACCGCCGGTCGCGCGCCATCCCCACACGCGTTCCCATGTCTGAACCCGGGGTTGCGGCCACGGGGTCACGTCCATCTCGCTGAGGGCCTTCCCCTTCGTCGCCTCCCCTCCGCTTGACCGTGTGGGCAAGCGGTACTAGAAGGGTTGCCAGCACCCCAGAGGATGGAAAGGGTTCTTATTTCCCTCTGGAGAGAGTCCCGGTCCTCCTGGAAACGGTGCGCAGCAGCGAGGAAGGAGCCCGACGCCTTGTCCTTGGAGTCGTGCCTTCCCTTTCCTACTTGGAAAAGCGGCTCTGTCCCCGCCGAACACGACCCGGGAGTCGCAGAAGCCCCGGGTGGGAGTGCTCAGCGGAGACGGTGCCGTACGGCAAAATGGCGGCGCCCTGGCGCTCGGGACTCCCGGAAGCGACCGGCGGATTCCCGTAAGGGAGGGAAGCAGGGAACTTCCGCTGACGTCGGCAGCTTGGCGCCGGGCGGGGGGCGGGGCTGCCGCCACTTCCGGCCACTGGCCGACCGGGTTCCGTAACACAAAATGGGTGAGCCTGGGGCCTGGTAGGCGGGAACTCGGCCACTTCCGGCTTTGAGTCGGGCCTGCGACGGGAGGGGGAAGGAAGGCGGAGAGAACCATGCGAGGTTCTTGGCTCTGCGGCGTGGACCGCCTCGAGAGACCGTTTCTGAGGTGGGGGCCGGACGGGGTGGGGACACGGGCTGGGGGGGGCCGAGGGAGCGAGGTTGCGGACACGCGGGAGCGCCGGTGGAGGTGGCAGGCGGTGGTCCCGCGTGTTCCGCGAGTGGCCGCGGGCAGCACGGGGGGAGGGGGCGGCTTGGCGGGAAGCTCACCTGAGGAAGGGGGTCGTCCCCGGCACCGGGATCGCAGGGGGCGCCGGGAGCCCAGCTGGGGCTCCTGGGGGGAATTGGGATGGGGGATTCGAAGTGAGACATCGCCGCCACCCTACCGCCCCGGGTTGAGGGACCCTATCCGAGGGTGGACCGTGGCGATCATTCAAGACGGCAGGAGACGGGGGGGTTGAGGAGGGACCTCTCCCTCCACCGGGAGGGAGTCCAGGAGTTGCAGTGCCCGTTCGAGAGCGGGCGGAGGGTGCAAGCTTGTGCGCAAGGGGGGTGCCCGTGGGGTGGGCGCGACGGGGGTGTGGCATCTGCCCAGGAGGTGTCGAGGAAACCAGATGCAGTGTGGGGGGCTGTCCCGGGGCTGGGAGGAAGGGTCAACTTACTGGGAGAGTGTGGGGAGACGGAACAGAAAGGCCGGAAGTCAGCGTGAGGGGTGGCCCTGGAGCTGAGGACTTGAGTTTGGAGGTGGTTTGGGCTCCCCCGTTGCAGGTGACAGGCCTTAAAACCATATGGAGCTCCTCGCTGCTGATGAGCGGCAGTGAGAACGCTATGGGGCTGAGCTGGGTGTCACTGAAACCCAAGGAGCTTGGCAAACGTGCCACGGAGGGGCTCTTTCTGAGGCCCCACCCCCTTCCAGCAGGATTTGCGAAATCCCTACCACTTCCTCCCGCCGGGGGATTTGATCCCCCATGGCCACCGAAAACAGCATCATCGTGCTGGATGATGATGATGACGACGACGAAGATGAAGCAGCTGCTCAGCCAGGGCCCTCCC